TATAAAGTGTCCTAAACTATTTGCGCCCCGCGTTTGCGCAGGGGTTGGGTACGTCGCCAGGGTAATTTTTTCGTTCCCGGGCGTTGGCACGGGACGAGTTGAATGATACATTTGCGTTGCAATCGATTGCAATCCATTGGATTGCAAACGATTCGATTGCAATCCATTGGATTGCAATCGATTGGATTGCAATCGGTTGAATTGCAATCGATTCAATCGATTGGATTGCAGGGGAGGGACAGGACGGAAGGGAGGGAGGGGAGGAGAGGGAGGGGAGGGAGGCAAGCTAGGTGCGCTCGCGTCAACATCTGACATCCTACCCCTCCCTCCCATCCCTTCCCATTGAGCTACTTCATTGTCCTCTCACCGAATCGGGCTTCGCATCTGACCCTGTTACCTAAGAGGGAAAGGAGGAGGACGACGGCGCGATGAAAACGAAGACGACGACGAAGACGACGACGACGACGACAACCACGACGACGACGACGACGGCGGCGACGACGACGACGACGACGATGAGGACGACCGGCGACGAAGACGACGACGACGACGACGCGACCGCGCCGGAGCGGCACCCGCGCCAGCTGCCCGCTGCCGTTACGCGCGTCCCCCACCCGGATCTCAAATTTCTGCAGGGGTGAAAGGAGAGTAGCATTCATATTGGGTAATGGTAGAGTGGGTCCGATGTCAGAGTTGTGCAAATGCATTCATATTGAGTAATGGTAGAGGTAGAAATTGCCAATCGCGACAAAGACGCAGACGACGATGCAGGTGCATTCATATTGAGTAATGGTAGAGGTAGAAATTGCCAATCGCGACAAAGACGCAGACGACGACGGCGGCGGCGGCGAGGGAAGCGGCAGCGGGCGAGGACAGATCTCAGAGAAGAGGATTTTCAAAAACATAGATGAAAACCAAACTCCCGGGAATCCTGTGCGGAAAAGGACGCCGCCCAAAAGGGGGGGGGCTTTCTGCGGCCCCAAAAATCAACGAATCGACACCGGATGTGTAATCACCTCCAATGTTTTTGCCGGGGATCATTTTCTAGATTTGGGGCTTCTTAAAAAGGATCGAAAACGTCGGCGCTGCAGCGGGAGCACGTTTTGGAACAACGAGAGGCGCAGAAATTGGGCCAGCGCTGCAGCGGGAGCACGATTCGGAACGAGCGGGAGCGCGGAAATGAGGCCAGCGCTGCAGCGGGAATACGATTCGGAAGGAGCGGGAGCCTGAAAATTAGGCCAGCGCCTCAGCGAGAGCAGCATTTTAGAAAAAAAAACACAAGCGAAAACCCAACTCCGGGGAATCCTGTGTGTAAAAAAACAATACGCGGGGGGGTGCCGAACATCTTCCGGACGCCATCAGGGGAAGTGGGGGAGTAGTATTCATATTGTGTAATTGTAGATGGAACGAAGGGTGGGGAGGGAGGGGAGGGAGCGGAGGGAGGTGGGGAGGGGGATTGCAGTGGAATGGAGTGTAATCGATTGCAAGCGATTTGATTGGGATTTTCGATCGTCGATCGTTGATCGTCGATCGTCCATCCTCGATCGTGGGTCGTTCATTTTGGATCGTCGGCGAAAGGGAGGGCGGAGGCTCCGGGGGCTGGGCGGCCAAAGGGGGCCCAAGCCCCCCCCCCCTTTGGCACAAAGGGGGGGAGGGGGGTGGGAGCTTCCAGCAGGGCGGCTCCAAGGGGGGGGGGGGTAGCTTAAGCACCCCCCTCCCTTTGGAAAGGGGGGTAGCTTCCGGGGCGGCCAAAGGGGGGGGGGGTAGCTTCCAAGCACCCCCCCCCTTTGCACGAAAGGGGCTCCCGTTGGAAAGGGGGGTAGGGGGGGGTAGCTTCCGGGGCGGCCAAAGAGGGGGGGGGGTGGGTAGCTTCCAATCACCCCCCCCCCCTTTGCACGAAAGGGGGGGAGGGGGGGGGGTAGCTTCCAGCAGGGCGGCGCCAAGGGGGGGGGGGGTAGCTTAAGCACCCCCCCCCATTTGGAAAGGGGGGGAGGGGGGGGGTAGCTTCCAGGGAAAGCTCAAGGGGGGAGGGGGGGTTAGCTATAAGCCCCCCCCCCCTTGCAAAAAAAGGGGGAGGGGGGGGTGCTTCCAACAAGGGCGGCTCAAGGGAGGGGGGGTAGCTTAAGCCTAGCCTCCCCTCCCCTTTGCTCGGGCCCTGTGGGCGCGCTCTCTCGATAGTGAGATCGATTGTGAGACCGCATGTGAGGCCGAATGTTGGATCGATAGTGAGATCGATAGTGAGGTCGATCGTGAAATTAATAGTGACACCGAAATTGAGATCGATTGTGAGATCGAATGTGAGATCGCATGTGGGATCGATAGTGAGATCGATTGTGAGATCGATAGTTAGATCGACTGTGAGATCAATAGTGAGACTGATTATGAGATCGATTGTTAGGTCGACTGTGAGACCGAATGTGACATCGATTGTGAGATTGATTGTGATATCGATCGTCAGTACCATAGTGAGACCGAATGTGAGATCGATAGTGAGATCGATAGTGATATCGATAGTGAGATCGGTTGTGGGGTCGGCGGTAAGATCGATAGTGAGATCGATAGTGAGATCGATAGTGAGATCGATAGTGTGGTCGATAGTGAGATCGATTATGAGACCGAATGTGGGATCGATAGTGAGATCGATCGTGAGATCGATCGTGAGACCGAATGTGAGACCGAGTGTGCGATCGATGGTGAGATCGATCGTGACATGGAATGTGAGTTCGACAGTGGTATCGATAGTGAGATCGACTCAATCAGATCGATAATGAGATCGGTTGTGAGACCGAGTGTGACATCGATAGTGATATCGATAGTGAGATCGATCGAGTGATATCGATAGTGATCTGGATAGTGGGATCGATCGCGAGATGTATTGAGTGACGCGATGGTTCCTCCTCCCCCCTCACCTCCTTATCACCCGAAGGGTGTTCGTATACGTATATATCGGAGGTGAGGGGGTGAGATCGAAGTGGAACGGGGAGCCCCCCCCACCGGGAAATCGGTTTCGGTTTCGTGTTCGTGTCGTGCGTGCGGGCGAGGCGGAGTTGCGTGGGCGGGCGAGAGGAATTCACCCTGCTGTCGCTAGGGGTCCGCCAACACAAATGTTTCCCCCCCCGGTCTTGTCAAGCGGGGGCCCGCATTGTCCCGTCGGTGGCTCGCCGTTGTCCCGTCGGTGTCCCGTCGGTGTCCTGTCGTGAGATCGATAGTGAGATCGACTTTGAGACCGATCGTGAGATCGATTGTGAGATCGATCGTGAGATCGATAGTGAGATCGATAGTGAGACCGAATGTGAGATCGATTGTGAGATCGATTGTGAGATCGATTGAGATCGATAGTGAGACCGAATGTGAGATCGATAGTGAGTTCGATAGTGATATATATATATATATATATATATATATATATATATTGTAACATATTTCGTGAGATCCATGGTCTGATAGTGGGATCGATCGTGAGATCGATGGTGAGATCGATAGAGATCGATTGCGAGACCGAATGTGAGACCGAATGTTGGATCGATAGTGAGATCGATAGTGAGATCGATCGTGAAATCGATAGTGACACCGAAAGTGAGATTGATTGTGAGATCGAATGTGAGATCGATAGTGGGATCGATAGTGAGATCGATAGTGAGACCGATTGTGATATCGATTGGAAGATCGATAGTGAGACCGATTGTGAGATCGATTGTGAGATTGATTGTGATATCGATCGTCAGTTCCATAGTTAGACCGAGTGTGAGATCGATAGTGAGATCGATAGTGAGATCGATAGTGAGATCGATTGTGGGGTCGATTGTGAGATCGATTGTGAGATCGATTGTGAGATCGATAGTGCGGTCGATAGTGATATCGATTCTGAGACCGAATGTGGGTCTAATGGTGACATCGATAGTGAGATCGATAGTGAGACCGAATGTGAGACCGAGTGCGCGACCGATTGTGCGATCGATAGTGAAATGGAATGTAAGATCGACAGTGATATCGATAGTGAGATCGACTGAATCAGATGGATAATGATATCGGTTGTGCGACCGATTGTGATATCGATAGTGGGATCGATAGTGAGATCGATCGAGTGATATCGATCGTGGGATCGATAGTGGGATCGATCGCGAGATGTATTGAGTGACGCGTTGGTTCCTCCTCCCCCCTCACCTCCTTATCGCCCGAAGGGTGGTCGTATAGGTGTATATATATATGTATATATATACATATGTATGTGTGTGTGTGTGTCTGTTCTTGTGTCTGCTTGTTTGTCTGTCTGTATGTCTGTCTGCCTGTATGTCTGTCTGTGTGGCTGTCTGTGTGTCAGTGCGTGTCTGTGTGTGTGTCAGTGTGTATGTATGTTTGTGTGTGTGTGTGTCTGTGTGTGTCTGTGTGTGTGTGTCTGCGTGTGTCTGTGTGTGCCTGTGTGTTTCCCTGCGTCTTCGTGTATGTTTGTGGTGCACACAAAATCGTAGGTTGTGCGTGAGGCACAAGTTGTAAGGCCGACGGCCGACGAACTGCTCGCAGTTCCCAGGGTCTTGGGGGGGCGCGTGCTGGTGGAGGGGTCTCGGCGGGAGCTGGCAGAAGCGTGGGGTCTCGGCGGGAGCTGGCGGAAGCACGTGACTCTGGCCATTTCCACTGCTGGTGATGCGGTTCTTTCAGGTGCCCCAGAATTTTTAAAAAAAAACTAAGAAAGTAAACCTGGGCTGTTTGCATGAAGATTTCCATTGACACAAATTCTTCGGACCCTGTTTGCGTCAAGATTTCCATTGACACAAATTCTGATGGTTTCTGCAGCAGTGACATGTCGTGAAGCAAGGGTGTCCGTGTTGGCTTCCGCAACAGTTGAGGTCGTAAAGCAAGAGTGTCCGAAATGGCTTCCGTAGCAGTTGAGGGGGCTGGGTAGCAGAGGAACATCCTGTTGCCATTTTGGCTCAAGTGCCGCGGATTCCGATCCGCTAGTTTTGATCCCCCATCTCAGGTACGCTTCTACACTCTGGTGCACCATGGAGGCCTTCGTCGGCGCCGTGGGCGACGTCCCGCTGCTGTCGGAGGTGCAGAAGTCCGTGACGGATGTGCTCACCGGTGCAGGCTTCGCATTGCCTGATTACTTGCCAGGCACACCCGCTGCAACAGTCGATACTTTGATCGGCACGTTGCAGGGTCCGGTAGGAGGCTTGCTGAAGAGGACGTTCGAACGGGCCGATGACGTGGCCACGGCAAAACGTGTCAAAGCCGTGGCCGTCTCGCCGCCTGGTGCACAGCCAGGCTTGGGCGGAGCGTTGGCTGCGTCGCACCCTGTCCCTGGCCCACTTACTGGGTCGCTGGTGGGCCTTCTTGGGCCCGATGCATCAGCGGGGGCAGTGGCGCGTGCCCTCACTGCTGGCGCCGCGTCAGTTGACATGGACGCCAAGCGGAAGGCACTGAAGCTGGAGGGCCTCCCGTTCCAGCTGCGCGCGCAGCCGTCCTTGTTCCAGCTCTTGGCTGCGGATGGCAAAGCGGCTGAAGGGGCGACCCCACCGCGCACAGCGTTCACATATGTGGACTTGACCCACAAGGATTTGCTTCCCTTGTGGATGAGCGCGGAGGCCATCGGCGGCCATACTCCGAGGCCGGGGGAGTTTGAGTGGGACCCCAATGCGGATACCATTTCCCTCGGCGCCCTCGGCAGGGCGTTCAAGGATGTCCTCGAAAACCCCCGCTATTTTCGCAGCGTGGTGCAGTGGAACGCAGTGTGGTTCCGCTACGCACCTGTGGCCGTTGCGATGGGGCAGATGACGTGGCCGATTGTGTTGTCCCACGCCGACCATATGTACAAGCTCGCCGAAACTGAACGCCACCCAGGGAATGGCCCTGCAGTAGTCTTCGTCTACGACGAGCTGCTCCGGCGGTCGCTGGCCACCCGCGCTGAGTGGGCGGACCCGTCGTTGGATCTCGCCGCTGCGTTCGGCGAGACGGACAAGCAGATCCTGGAGGCGGCGCGGTCCAGGCTCCACCAGGCGGGCCTGGTGCGTCAGGCTCCAGGGGCTGGGAGGTCAAGTGGGTCAACCGCATTTTCGAATGAGGCGAACAGCAGGGCCATAGAGGCAGCCGATGCTGATCGCACGGTTGCGCGCGCAGCGCAAGCTGCGAAGGAACTGGCAAAACAGCATGCTAACCTGGAGGCGCCCATGGCGGCCATGGCGGCCAGCAAAGGCCCCAAGGGCAAGGGCGCCGCCAACAGCCAGGACGCGCGCCAGGGCAAGACGAGTAAGCAGTTGAAGTCGGAGAGATTCTTCGAGAAGCAGCGCCAGAAAGCGAACTACAGGAGGTGGGGCAAGGATCGGGGCGGGGAGCCCCGTGCGGGTTGGTAGGGGTTCGAGGGGGCCCGGGATGACGGGGGCATCGCCGGGCTGGCCCTCCCTGCCTGTCTGCAGGCACCCCCGAACCCCCGCAGTGGTCTTCAAGTGAAAGGCGCAGCTTGTCTGGAGTCCTGCTCGCCCTTCGTGCTGGACGCGGGCTCCAGCGCGGTCGCGGCGGCGCGCGCTGGGCGAGGCAAAGTGCGCGTGCAGCAGACTTCCGGTCCTGGTGCCGCGCCGCACGGCTTGGGGGCCCCAGCGGGGTTCGACCCGATGCAGCATGTCGTCTGGGCCCTCAAGCAGCGACACCCTTTTCATGGACTCAGTTGCTGCGTTGGACCACCGCTTGGAGAAAGCGGCGCGGGCGGCGGCTGCTACGACGCCCGCCCAGTTGTACGGGCTACGGCGCGTGAGGCTGGAACACTGGGCGCTCCGCGCGCTGCAGTTGCAGGGCGAGCGGGCGCAATGGCTCGGAGATGCGCCGGCTCATCTCCAGAAGATGCTGGCCGGCATCCATGGCCCGCTCGTTCGGGAGATGTGCGCGCATTGTGCGCGTGATTTGGCGCTGACCGACGATTTGTAGAAGGGTCTCCAGTTCGTCGGTGCCCCCCCTGCTTGCCCAGACTTCTGCAGGCCAGGCGGAGAGCAGCTATGTACTCTCACTGTCGCCGAGCTGCGGGCCCAGCGCTCGGAACGGAACAACTTCGTTATCTCGAAGATCAAGCCGTCCGAGTGGTACGGTGACCTCTGGGCACTCACAGTGGCAGACGCAAGCGCCGGGTACATGACGACGCCGCAGCTGCTTCAGGAGGTGGACCTCGCCACGGCGTCTGTGACTCGGCGCCTGCCAGTGCGCGAGGAGACGCCAAAGGGCTGGCGCGCGCGGCCAGTCGACGATTTCACCGAGTCGGGGGTCAATCCGGCGACGAGGCCCCGCGATGCCATCGAGCACGAGACGGTGGACCTTTTCCTCGCGTTGCTCCCCCTGTGCTTGTCCCTTGGCATGGGCCCGCTGATGTGGAAGAGGGGCGTCGCGCAGGCTTTCAGGACAGTCCCTCTCCGATCAGATTCGCTCGATCTGGCGTGGGTGGCGTTCGCCCGCGCGGGGCACTTATGGGCTTCGCAGCGCAGGGCAATGCCATTTGGGTCCACTTCGGCCAACTATGGGTGGCACCGGGTTGGCAGCTTGCTCAAAGCCGCCATGGTGTTCGACTTTTTCGCGCCTGCGCGCAGGTACGTCGACGACTTCTTCGGGTGCGACCCGCGCGACTGCAAGGTCACAGGCGGCGCGTGCCTGGCGGTGATCTGCGGGCCCCTGGGCTTCGAGACGGACCCCTCGAAGGACAGCCACCAAACTGAGTGTCTGACTGCATTGGGTGCTCAGGTGGCTTTGAACGTCGCATGCTTATCTGTGTCAGCTGCCGTGGACGCGACCAAGGCGGCACGGTGGAGTGCGGAGCTGTCCCAGATGCGGGAATCCCGGCGCTGCAGTCCAGACGTTGCTGCCCGGTACGCCGGCAGGCTGGCCTTTGCATGCGTTTTGGCATCAGGGAAGGTGGGGCGCGCCCTCGTAAAGCCGTTCCACGCTCAGGCGAACGCCCCTCTGCCGGGGTTTTCCGTGTCGCCGCTCCTGGAGAACGCGGCCGCGTGGTGGGTGAAGTACCTGGCCCTACGGCCACCCGCCCAGTTATCGGTGGGCCTCGCTGTCCGCGACACTGCGTGGGCGTGGGCGGACGCCAGTGGCGAGGGCGGTTGTTTGGGGGTTGTCGCATTCGTGTGCGGCCAGTGGCACTGCGCCCTCATGGACGCCCCCGCCGTGGTCATGGGCCAGCTGCTCACGAGGGGCGACGACCAGATCAACTTCCTCGAGATGCTCGCGGTGGCCCTCTTCGCGCACGTGTTCGCCGAGCTGGTGCGCTCGGGAGTCTCATCAAAGGCAGTTCCAAGGCGCCCGAGGCGAACCTGCTGGCCGGCAGGCTGTGGCTGCATGCGGCCCAGTGGGCGTGGGCCCCATATTGGGTTCGCGTAGAGTCGGCTGCCAACATCGCTGACGGCCCATCTCGCCGCGAGCTCGGCCTGGCCAGGCGCCGGGGCGCGATCTGGGTAGAGCCATCGCTGCCTGCCGAGCTTGAGACCATTTGGTTTATGAATGTGGATTGATTGCTTATATAGAAAAGTGCGGTCGCTCCTTCCGCGCCTCCCCCCATATTGCCCCGGCGGCCCAGTGGCGCGTCGCCTGTAGTGGGTGGGGCGGGGAGGGGGCTGGGGCAGCGAGGTGCGCCAGCTGGCCGCGTCCGTAGCCGCGCGTGCTCAGGGTGCTCGCCTGCCCCACCCCTCGGCCATTCGATGGCGGACAACGAGTTGTCCCACGAGGAAGTTGTGCACAACAAGCTCGTGGCCAGGTTGGTGGCTCCGCGATGCGGCGTGCGATGCTTTCCTGTGGGGCGAGCGCAACAGGGCGCAGCATATCGCCAAATCCCTGGCGGGCATCGCGCCCACGCGGCGTGCACTGGCGGAGACCGGAGCGGGCCACCTGGCATCCGATGCAACGTCGTGGGCAGCAGGCGGCGCAGCGGCTGTAACATTTGCCAATCAAGCGTCGCGGGACTGGAAGGCCGCGCCCCGACTCCATCGCACCCAGGGGTGGACAGAGGAGCCGTGCAGGGTAAGGCCGTTTGCTGCCTTGAAGGCGACAGAGTATTTGGATTACGTGGACAACCTGGACAAATGGCTCCAGTCAGTCGACGACGTGCCGTCGGACCCGGCATGTTGCCGGAGGCTCGCGGCCGTGCTCGTGGAGCATGGTTTCCGCGACTGGCGCCACCTGGACTCCGTCAGGCCAGAGTCCCTCCAGGCGAAGAACGTGAACCAGGCGGCCCTGCTGCAGCGCGCTGTGGACAAGGCCACCGCGCTGGGCCTCAGGTTGAGGCGGGGCACTGGGCCAACCGGCGAAGCCATCCCAGCTGGGCCTTGGCGCGCTGCCTCCATCGGGGTTGCGCCCGAGCCAGCCGCGGCGAAGTCGGCGCTCGACGCCGCGACCGGGTTGTCCCAGTCCGCGGTCACCTCTGCGCAAGGTGCGTGGGCCAAAGAGGCCAAGAGGTTGGGCGTGCCTGTTCAAGGCGCTACGCCCAGGGCCGTCATTGGGCACCTGGCCACTTCTGCTCCTGGCCCCGACGCGGTGCAGCTCCTCGACGAGCGCGCCAGGCTCTTGCGGTTAGAATGCAAGCGTGGTTCTCTCCAGTCAGTTGCGTCAGGTCTCAGGGCATGGCACGCGTTTGCGACCCTGGTCCTCGGGTATCCTGATGTTGCCACCCTGCCGCCGAGGAGCGAACAGGACGTGTGCCGGTTCCTCGCGGTCTTCGTCAACGCTGGCACCGCAGCCAATTATGTCGGCTATGTCAAGTGGGCATGCGTCAACCTGGCGTTGCCCACCGCGTGGTGGACCGAGGCGGTCACGCTCACTATCAGGGGCCTGCGCGCGGAGCAGATCCGGGCCACAGGTGGGCCCGCCAGCGTGAGAGTGTTGCTTGCCGACGACTGGGTGGCGCAGCTAGCGTGCCTGGCGGAGTCCATGCGCATGCCCTCGGTGCAGGCGGCGGTGCTGGTGTCCTCGGTGTTTTTGCTGAGAGTGCAGAGCGAGACGATCGGCTTGGAGGCCGGCAGGCGTTGCGAAGCGCAGCTCTTGCCTCGCGGCCGGCACAGCGCCGTCTGGATCGAGCAGAATGGCGGGTCTGCCGACGCGCTCCACATCCGGCTCGCGAGGCGCAAGAACAGGCCACAGGGGAGCACGTTGATACGGACGTGCGCCTGCGCTGGTGGGCATTCCAGGTGCTGCGCGGTCCACACCGTGACGCCCATCTTGCGTTCAAGGGATGTGGGGGGGAAGCTTTTCGAATTCTCTAGCGCGCACCTCCTCGAGCAGGTGCGCCGTCTGCTGGGACTACTGGGCCATAGATGTGCGAACCACTGCACGTTGAAGGGTTTCCGTGCTGGCCGCGCGACGTCACTAGCAGCGGCGGGCTCGCCTCTGGGTGTCATTCTGGCTGCAGGCGAGTGGAGGTCGGCCGCCTTCTTGCGCTACTGCCATGCCGACGAGCTGTCCGCGACGTCGATGATTGAGGTGGCCTGCGAGGACAACGATGACGAGGACTGACGGGGGGCACCGTTGGGGATGTTCCTCGATGCTCAGTGCGGACGTGGCCGTGACGACGTGTGAATAAAGAAAGGGGGCGTGACACTGGCGGGTTGCAGCGTTGGGGTTTGGCCAGTGCTGGTGACCATGGTGGGCTCCTGCCCGTGCACCATGGTGGCATTGGTAGCCCGTGCCCCGTGCGGCACTGGGGGTTGGCTTGCCAGCGTTGCCCCAGTGCGGGGTGCCCCTGTCCCAGTGTGGTCGCACTGGGCAGCCTGGTCAGGGGTGACCCCTGGGCTACCAGGTGGCGCGGTATGCGCGTTCCCTTCGTTGCATCATGCCTACCAGTGGTAAGTGTGGCGGCGCCAGGTCCTCGTCTGATGCTCCTCCTGAGTCCTGGTGCATGCGTCTTCCTGCCCCTGGGATCGGTCGGTGTGCCTGGTAATTTGTGGTGCACGCAAAATCGTAGGTTGTGCGTGAGGCACAAGCTGTAAGGCCGACGGCCGACGAACTGCTTGCAGTTCCCACGGTCTTGGGCGGGCGCGTGCTGGTGGAGGGGTCTCGGCGGGAGCTGGCAGAAGCGTGGGGTCTCGGCGGGAGCTGGCGGAAGCACGTGACTCTGGCCACTTCCACTGCTGGTGATGCGGTTCTTTCAGGTGCCCCAAAATGCGTAAAAAGACTAAGGAAGTAAGCCTGGGCTGTTTGCGTCAAGATTTCCATTGACACAAATTCTGATGGCTTCTGCAGCAGTGACATGTCGTGAAGCAAGGGTGTCCGTGTTGGCTTCCGCAACAGTTGCAGTTGAGGTCGTGAAGCAAGAGTGTCCGAGATGGCTTCCGCAGCAGTTGAGGGGGCTGGGTAGCAGAGGAACATCCTGTTGCCTTTTGGCTCAAGTGCCGCGGATTCCGATCCCCTCCGCTCCCACCCCGGAGCGGCACTTGAATTGAAAGGTAATTGACAGGTGTGCCCAACTCGTGTTGGGCAGGGTGAGCCCTGGACCTGTTCTGCTGTTGGTGCAGTGCGGCCGCGCGTGCCTGCCGGCAGCACGGGGCCCTTGCTCGTGACCGTGGTGGGCTTTAGCCCGTGCACCGCGGTGGCGTTGGTACCCTGTACCCTGTGTAGCTCTGTGGGCTGGCGTGCCAGCGTTGCCACAGTGCGCGGTGAGGTGGTCCCAGTGTGGTGACACCAGGAGTTGTGTGGTCGTCTGCAGGCGCGCCCACGTGTTGGGCAGGGTGTGCCCTGAGTCTGTGGCGCTGTTGGTGCAGTGCGGCTGCGGGGGCCTACCAGCAGCACGGGGCCAGTGCTGGTGACCATGGTGGGCTCCTGCCCGTGCACCATGGTGGCATTGGTAGCCCGTACCCCGTGTGGCACTGGGGGCTGGCTTGCCCGCGTTGCCCCAGTGCGGGGTGCGCCTGTCCCAGTGTGGTCGCACTGGGCAGCCTGGTCAGGGGTGACCCCTGGGCTACCAGGTGGCGCGGTAGGCGCGTTCCCTCCGTTGCATCACGCCTACCAGAGGTAAGTGTGGTGCCGCCAGGTCCTCGTCTGATGCTCCTCCTGAGTCCTGGTGCATGCGTCTTCCTGCCCCTGGGATCGGTCGGTGTACCTGGTAACTTGTGTGTGTGTGTCTGTGTGTGCATGTGTGTGTGTGTGTCTGTGTGTGCCCGTGTGTGTGTGCGTCTATGTTTGTGTCTGTGTGTGTGTGTGTCGGCGTGTGCCTGTGTGTGTCTGTGTCTGTGTCCGTGTGCGTTTATATGCGTCTGTGCGTGCCTATGTGTGTGTGTGTGTGTCTGTGCGTGCTTGTGTGTGTGTTTGTGTGTGTTTGTGTGTGTGTGTGTCTGCGTATGTGCCTGTGTCTGTTATTGTGTCTGTGTCAGTGTCTGTGTTTGTGCGTGTGTCTGTGTGTCTCTGTGTTTCTGTGCCTCTGTGTGTGTCTGTGTGTGTCTGTGTGTGTCTGTGTGTGTGTGTGTCTGTGTGTGTCTGTTTGTCTGTATGTTTGTGTATGTATGTGTGTGCCTGTTTGTCTGTGTGTTTGTGTCTGTGCCTGTGTGTGTGTCCGTCTATGTTTTTGTGTGTCTGTGCGTGTCTGTGCGTGTCTGTGTGTGTGTCTGTCTGTGCGTGTGTATATATATATATATATATATATATGTGTGTGTGTGTGTGTCTGTGTGCCTGTCTGTGTCTGTCTGTGTCTGTCAGTGTCTGTTTGTGTCTGTCTGTGTCTGTCTGTGTGAGCTCCTCTCGGTGTGTGTCTGTCGGTGTGTGTGTGTCTATGTGTGTACCTGTTGGGGCGTGTCTCTGTGCGTGTGTGTGTGCGTGTGTGCGTGATGTTGTGTGTGTTGGGTGGGGGGTGTTTGGTGTGCGAGCGTGCTTGTGCATGCCCTCTTGGGCGTACCCTTTTGGCCCCCACGAGGTGGGAACCAAAGGAGTACACCCAAGAGGGCTGGCAGAACGACCCTTCTCTCTACGCGAGCATGGCAATTTAGGACAACGTCACGTGGCTCGCCCCATACGGACGCGACGTGTTGGACATCGACCAATGCCATCTGTGCGAGCTCCCCACCACCCTGGTCGGGGACGAGTACGGCCTCGGTAACGCTGACACGCCACCGGGGACCCATACGGGCAGCCGCTGGACGCTTCGTCGGCATATGGTCAAGGGCGGCCAATTAGTGGATGGAGCGACAACCTCGGCACGGCGTCTCCCGTGGGCTTGGAGGTTAACCCGCTCTTCAAGTCCGGCGACGCATCCGAACTGGCGGCGGAGGTCATTGCGATCTGGCAGAGGCAGCCCACAGCTCATGACACCGTCACCACGGTCCTGCATGCACTTGCGCGGGCACATCCCAGGATCACCGCGGCGGGAGGTACAGAGCAGACGTTGTGTGAATTCTCAAGATATGCTACGCGGACGAGGCCACACTGGAGCCTTGCACAACTACGCTGGGCACGCCTGCCGTCTACTGGCAGGAGGGCGTCAACAACGTTGCCTTACCAGGACCAACGGTGCTTCCCGCCCTGAATGAAACCTCGCTGAACCCGGAACCCCACATGACGAAAGTTGCGCGCTGCGTGTACACGACAATTGTTGTGGCAACCCAAGTATGTGGAACAATGTCAATAACCAAATGTGGAACAGAAAGAGTAAGTCCATATCCCGACAGCTACCTCCAGACACCAAAGTTCACCCAGCTCGTTTTCTGTATTTTTTTGCACGCTCGGTTGGACTGTCACGGCCACTCCGTGCCTGAGCGGCTCGAGAGGGCCAGTACGGCACGACGACGGATGGTTCCGATTTCAGTTGCTTGGCATAACCAATGACGAAGTCTAAAGGCTGCGGGACAATTGGTGGATACGTGCCTGACATGGGATCAAGTCCAACGCATTCAATTCAACCATTCAAGCAGAAGGGGCACCGCACCCTTACGAATATGTGCTGCGTTTATGCCCATGGCGATCCACGCTTCCACACATGTGATTTTTAGAGTGACAGCATCCTATGGGCAGCTACGTGGGAGATACTTGCGGACATGGGGCGTCGGGTTACCAAGACTGCGAGGACCGACCTTCTTATTTTGTCCACCTGAGGCCGTGCATTTGGTTGCGATGTGGATCTGTGGTCGCGTTCCAGATGGAATGCGCGATGGCGGCGAGTTCTCGACAAATTGGGACCCGCTCGTGGAAGCTCCGCCGACCCCAACGGCCACGCGCGGGAGTCAACGCGGGCAGGAGCACCCTGCAACTCATTCCCACGACGCCCCGGCGGATTGGGCCGAGGAAGAATGGGGCAGATGGCTCATAGATCAGGCACAGACTCTGGGCCATCTGGCGGGCACAGAATGCACGAATGGGCTGGCCGACGTTCTTCAGAAGCACCCCCAGGAACTTCCCAGGCCCGCGATTGCGGCGGCGTGCAAGGCCTCGAGGTTCGAGGTCAGATGGGGGCCCCGAAGACGCGGGCATCCCTGAGGAGGTCGACGACAGCGCTGACTCTGACGGGGGCGGCGCGGGCGGCGACAGGGGCGCACGCGACCAAACGCAGGCCAGCCACATGATTGCACTACGGCTCACCAGACCAGCGGTCGACGGGAGTATCCTAGTTCTGACCTGGAAGGAGATGCTCGATGGGCGGCAGCCAAGGATGGGCTGTGCCAGCTGCCCCGCTCGCGCGCAAAGACTACTCGCGTCTCGACGGGCCAGATTGGATGGTGCAGGTCAGACTTCCCCCGCCCAGTCGCGCCTCCACCACCATTCCTACGGATAGGGAGATTTGAAACGGCCCTGCGCGTCGGATCGACGTGGGCTGCTGCGGCGACGTGCTACGCTGCAACGCTCGCATCTCCGATGAGGTGGATCGACGCGTTGCGATCTCGACCCGCAGCATGGTTGATTCGCGCTAGAGGGCGAACTAGAGTCTCGCCACCGTATCCACGACGCAACGAACGACGCCCTCTCGGCGCTTCGTCGTGACAGAATCCGCAAAAAAGCAGGTAGGATTGCGGCGCCGCGCAGAGAGGGCCCCGCTCGGCTGCCGCAGCGCGGGCGATTGGGGCGCAGGCAGAAAAATCGGGGGCCGGCGGAGCTTTGCCCGCAGCGCCGCGGGCCTGGTGCTGGAACGGCAAATCTGGGCGCGATGGGGGAACGCGCCCAGACTTTACTTGGCGCAGGTCCATCGCATTCGGTCGCGGATGCACCCCTCGTGCGCGAGCAGGCGGAGGCGACATTGCTCGCGCGGCCCCGCCCCGGGGCAGCGCTTCTCGGACCCGTCGCTCCACGACAGAAGCTCGCTGATCAGTTGGATCCGCGACGCCCGCCGATCAGACGAGATGCTCCTGAGCGGGCGCCCAAGGAAGGACCGCTTTGATCCCGCACAGCGCGCGATGGCACAACGCGCGAGGTGGCTGATCATGGCGCAAAGGCACAATTGCCAGGCGCGCCGCCCCCTCGAGGCCGCCCGGCTGCAACGCATCACGGACGACAAGTCGCTTCGCGGGGGGGGCGACCCATGCCGCCGCGAAGTCGCC